CTAAATAAAAATCTAATAAAGTCTTACCACCTTCATTAATTGTTCCAAACCCAAGGCCACCATGGATGCTTTTAAAATCCTCTACCTCTCTACCATCATGTCCATTTAAATCTCCTTCATAGAGTGACTCTCCATAATCAAAATGCATGAATGAAGAATTCAACCCTCTCCAAGCTTTATGCATGAAAGCAAATTTACCCCCATTGTTTCTTAAAAATGTCCCAGCTTTACTAATTATCTTTTGTCACTATATGAAAATTTTATTTTCTTATGAAATTTAATTTCTTTAAAAACCGTAGATGTAATATGTTATTTGAAATCAAATAGAAGTTATCTTTCTTTAGAATTGGCTTGGTGGCTTATTATCTTGGCATTATTTGGCGACCTTGCAAATCCCATTTCTTTGGTGAGAAGTAAATTATCTTTTCTCCCTTGGCCATAAAAACCCTAAATCACCTTCATTAGCAATCTCTATCAAAGATAAATACGAAAAGATAAAGAATGAAGATCCTTGTAAATAAGAAATGGGAAATAAATCACAAAAAACTATAAAAAACAAACAGGAACATGCATGCATATTATTTAGAAATGGAATAAGAAGTATATCGATTACCATTTCTACTCATACTTACCAAGACGCATCAAGTAATCCAACATATTTAATAGAAAAATAATGCCAAATCTAAGAAGTTCCAAAGTTCACCAAAAGAAGAAATTTAGAAAACTATAAAATATAACAACCTCATAATCACCACCACCAAGTCTTATCACAATTATTAGGAGTTGCCTATATGAATCTTCTTCTCCATTCATTCATGTAGGGACTAACATGTGATCTCAACTATAGTTCCACAGGTCAAACATAAATAAAGTACATGCATGGAGAAATATGTAGGGTCTCAATATTAGAAGAGTGTCCAATTGGATGATGTAACAATATAAATCAAATCATAATTGCAATAACTCCACTAGATTGATGAGGGGCAGCTGGTTGAATCATTAAAAAGGGGTACATAAAATAAGTAGTAGGAAATAAGCAATAAAGTATCATACTCTGATATGTAACAATTTGACTTCCTCGTACAGCTAATACAGCATCCTTTAGATATTTCTCACTCAAACCAATGTTTTTGGAGCTTTTATTGGGTGCGGAGTGCGGACGTAGCTC